GCAATATCGCTCAATGGCTCGTTTTGCACCGATAGGATCCTATTAATTTAAGCATACACAAAACGGGAAAAAATTATAAATGAACTCTTGAAGAATGCATTCAAGAAATTTGATAGCCCAGGTCATATTAATGATATTGCGCATGAATTGAAGATCAATGTGAGATCCCAATAATAAACTAATTTTTCCATCTTTTAGAAGTAAAATTTTAAATTTCCTGTCAATCTATGTTTTTTTTTGGATTCATTATTGCCCAACAATAAAAAGCGTGAGAGAAATAAACTCTAAGATTCTTACCCATGCAATGTGACATAATCCAGCTTTTAAAAAATAATCCTTGAGTGACCACTTCGTTAGTTGATTGTCGAGGCTAGCTGCTGCAACTTGTTCAAATTTTTCAATGGCTTTGTCATATTGCTCCAATGTTGCTGCAAAAGTGGCCACTTTAAGAAGACAATTATTTGCAAGTCTTGAAGTGAGAAAAATATAATTTAATATTCAACTAATGTCACAAAAATACTTTTAATTCGACGTCATATATACATACGCGGTAGCCTCTTCTCCAGCATACCAATCCGCTGCAATCTCGTAAGCCTGCATCGCCTTTTCTAGATCAATTAGGTCAGATTCATAAATCTGGGCAATATCCTTTTGATGTCCAGCTGCTGCTTGAAATCGACCTTTATCGGTAAGAATTTCAATAGCTTGTTTTAAGGATGTAATTGCAGCTTTTAAATGTCGATTCAAAAAAAAAAAAAAAAATTTTTTTTTAAATATCTTCCTACAAGCTATCAAAATCAACTACATCAATATAAACCTTCAAAGCTGCTTTTTTTATAACATTTCGAAGCATTAATATAAGTAGATGCAGCTTCATCACGTTCATTGAGTCGCAATTGCATATCGGCAGCCTTTGAAAATGCATCTCCAGCTTCTTTCCCTACAATTTTATTTGATATGGTTAGTAATTCAAACTTATAATTCTCTAAGCTTAAGAGAATAGTGCAAAAATCATT